GGTGGTGCTGTGTTAGTGGCGAGGACGACCGCCACTGTTTAGTTTGTGGGGTGTGATTTTTTTAGGCAGGTTGTGGTGATGGATGATGATCGGAATTGGTAGTGGGACTGTGATTAAAAATTAACATGTGACTAATAAATTTGAAAATATGTGATTAATAGAGAAAAATTATCATGTTATCAATCATTATAAACAAACAATCATGCGTTGTAACTTGTGACCTGGCCTGTGACTTGATTTGTGACTTGTGACCTGGGTTATGACGCTTGACTTGTGACCTGAGCTATGACTTGTGACATGGGCTGTGACTTGTGACATGTGACTTGTCACCTGAGTTGTGACCGTAAAAAAAACATGTTAACCGTACAAAAAAAATATAGCGGAGCAGTCGTCGAAAAATTCGCCGGAGTAGGGCGGTGATCGGAACGGTCGCCGGAACGGTAGGGGTGGTGAAGGTGGGATGGGTTAATTATATTATATTATAATTAAATATTTAATAATAAATTAATTTAATAATTTATTATTTCATAAATAAAAAGTTAAAAAAAATCTGATTTTGGTAACTTTAAACTTGTGTTCTTATTTTTGAAATAGACTAAACTTATACTATTGAATATGTAATCTTCCCTAGATTCTTATCTCCAGAATGAGCCTGATGAGGCCTTGGCTACTCTTGGACCATATGGGCCTATAGGGAGCCCTAGATATTGGGCTTTAGGTGGCGGATGGTTGGGCCTGTCACCTAAACAGCCCACTAATTCTGGATAGGAGCTGCATCATCACCAACATCATCTTGCTAATAAAAAGAAATGATATATTAGCCCCCTAAATTTATTTTTTTGAAACTTGTTTTCAACTACATATTCTCCCATAAAATATTTTCCTATTTTTTAACCATACATCCTCCAAAAAATCACTATTCCAACACATTTCCATCAATAGAGACTTAGGTCATGTACCTAATTTTCTCCCCAACTCTCCTTAATAATTGCTGGACTTTTATATTAGAATCATGCTACATGTACTGAATTTTTTTATTTAATCCCTAACCGACTACTCACAATAGGGGGTGGGGGCCACATCTTGGGGTTTTTTTTTTTATTCACACGGGGCCCGCGTGCATGTGAGAGGGGGTAAACAATTCGGTAGATTTTTTAGGTACAAATATCTTTATCCTTTATATTATACTTATTTATTTTACAAATTCAACTTTTTAAAAAAAATACTACAATAAAACATCTAATTCCCTACAATTTAGGAATTTATTACAAAAAATAAATAATTGTTTGTAACAAACATTAATTTCATACACACTCAAGTTTACCTTTCAACTGATATGGTAGTCTCAAGTAGATCCATTTCAATCTAAAATATCATCACCCTCTTCTAAGACCAATTGCGAGGCAAGAAATTTTATCAGAATCAAACACAAATTCTTTATCTTAAAGTCCTCGGAGTGGTAGGAGTGATGGAGATGGGGTGAGTTAATTATATTATGTTAGAATTAAATATTTAATAATAAATTGATTTAATAATTTATTATTTCATAAATAAAATTTTTAAAAAATCTGATTTTGATAACTTTAAACTTGTGTTCTTATTTTTAAAATAGACTAAACTTATACTATTGAATATGTAATCTTCCCTAGATTCTTATCTCCAGAAGGAGCCCGATGAGGCCTTGGCTACTCCTGGACCATATGGGCCTATAGGGAGCCCTAGATATTGGGCTTTAGGTGGCGGATGGTTGGGCCTGGCACCTAAAGGGCCCACTAATTCTGGATAGGAGCTGCATCATCACCAACATCATCTTGATAATAAAAAGAAATGATATATTAGCCCTCTAAATTTATTTTTTTGAAACTCATTTTCAACTACATATTCTCCTATAAAATATTTTCCTATTTTTTAACCATACATCCTCCAAAAAATCACTATTCCAACACATTTCCACCAATAGATACTTAGGTCATGTACCTAATTTTCTCCCCAACTCTCCTTAATAATTGCTGGACTTTTATATTAGAATCATACTATATGTACTGAATTTTTTTATTTAATCCCTAACCGACTACTCACAATAGAGGGTGGGGGCCACATCTTGGGGTTTTTTTTATTCACACGGGGCTCGCGTGCATGTGAGAGGGGGTAAACAATTCGGTAGATTTTTTAGGTACAAATATCTTTATCCTTTATATTATACTTATTTATTTTACAAATTCAACTTTTTTAAAAAAATACTACAATAAAACATCTAATTCCCTACAATTTAGGAATTTATTACAAAAAATAAATAATTGTTTGTAACAAACATTAATTTCATACACACTCAAGTTTACCTTTCAACTGATATGGTATTCTCAAGTAGCTCCATATCAATCTACAATATCATCACCCTCTTCTGAGAACAATTGCGAGGTAAGAAATTTTATCATAATCAAACACAAATTCTTTATCTTATTCATGCTAACCTCGTCAAAATATATCTACGATTTTGTCCAAAATTTCATTACTTGTGTCGAACGGTAAACATTTTTTTCTTTAATTCTTTCTAGTGTTATCCGATTCAATATTCAAAACACACAATTTACTATTAAAGTTATTGAGTAAGCCACTAATGAGGTAAGAATAATAAAAGAATTTTTTAAGTTTCGTGGACCAAAAATTAATTGTTCTTATGCTAGAATAAGTATATTTTTGTCAATAATTTGAGCCGGCGGATATTGATTTCTTGTACCTTTGATTCTTCAATATTCTTTATTACATACAAAATCAAAGACACAAGATTTGGTCACAGATTTAATTTATTTCAAAGGTTTAGTTTAATGAATGATTTTGTTGGGATATATTTATTTTTCATCACGGGCGCAGATTGCCAATATCAAGTCAACGCCGCTGAATACAGTGAATGGAATGTATATAATTATTTAATCACAAGCGGGAAGCGGCTTTTCATTTAGATAGATAATAACCCTCAAATTGTCCTAATTCTATTAGGAAATAATTATGTTAAACGTATAAATATAAATAAATAATTTTTTTTTCCTCTCTTTAAAATTTAATTTTTTTTCTATTACACGGATTAATATGAAAACAAAGCAAATGCCAAATCTCACATCCACGTGCCAATCCTTTAAAAAGGGTTGCAAACGTCGTTAGGTTTTGCTAGAGTGGCAGTGCCACATATGGCAGTGCCACATAAGCCATATCACCGTGGTGCCCCCTGTTCGTCCAGGGCCCACATGGCCCTGGACGAATAGCAAAACCCAACATCGTTAGGCTTTAACAAGACCTACATGTGATACATGATTAGCTAATAGATTTTTAGTAGGGTGCACAAAATACCCAAACCAAATCAGGACCGAACTCGTGGTTCGGTTCGGTTATACAAAAGAAATTAATGGTTTTGGTTTTGGTTTGGTTCTAGAACTAGAACTAGAACTAGAACCAAACTTGATTTTTAATTATATTTTTCTATATATATTAATTAGTGGAGACACTAATTTTGTATTAATTGGAAACAACCCATTAATCGGTTCTAGGTCATTGGAGATAGCCCAATAATTGTATACATCCTAATTTTATATTTCTTTGAATAATTTCTTGTTCACTTTTTTTCAATTTACACGAAACCGCGACATGTCTACACAATATTTTATCACGTCGGTGGAGGAGACATTTTCAAGATCGAAAAATGGAAATAGCCAATCACTTAAAAAACCTTTAAACTATTTTTTTCACTTTGATTGTTTGATAAATTATTTGTGTTATTCACAAATAGAGGAAAATCCAATAAATATTCACGAAGTATTAAACGGTTAATGGTTGCTTGTAAAAGTATACTATAAAAAATTTGTATAATCCATCCTTTATTGTGGGGGTGTGACGTCAAAACTGCTATATTTTATTTAGTAAATCATTGTTATTACTTATTAGGAAATCTTTTGTATGCAAATGAAAATTTATTTGTGCATTCAAATTATGACTATAGTTTGTTTATTAGTTTCGACTTTTGTGATCTTGATGATTGATAATTTGAACTTGCTGAATATTTGATATTTATTTATTTTTATTTATGTATATATTACTAACTTACGGATATGGTGCAAGTCTACAAAATTTTAGAAATACAACTAGAACCAAACCAAATCAGAACCAAATGGTCTAGTTCTGGTTTGATTCCGTATCTTAAAAAAAATCCATTTGATTCTATTATAAAAAAATTACTAGTTCATGGTTCAATTCAGTTCTCTTGGAACCAAAACCAAATGGAACCATATCCATCCCTAATTTTCAATTGGACAAAATATGGTTGATGGGATCAATTGAGTGAAATTATAGAATTATTTGGTTCCATTTGAGTATTACCAGCCAAAGATTTGACGATGGATAGTGAAAAGAATGGCGGAGGAGAAAAGAATTGATATGAGCAAAAATGATCCACTTATTATGAGTATGCACTTGAGGGTGTTCAGTGGTAAGTGTGGGTTTTATTATTATCTTGGCTCACTTTCAAGTTTCAAGGCTTTTTGCGAGGAATCGGATTAGATTGTTATCGTTCATTGAGTTTTGTGTATTAGGAGCCATGAACATGAAGTACAATCAAGAAAGGTAAAGGAAAACAAGAAGAAACGAGTTATTTTGACGTAAAAGCCCAAGTTGAAGTGAAAAGGAGGACCAACGAGCTGTGTATTTGGAAAAAGGAGTCCGAGTTAGAAGTGAAAAGGAGGACCAACGAGCGGTGTATTTGGAAAAAGGAGTCCGAGTTTGATGCAAAGCTTTCTACTAATCAAATGATATACCATTGAAAGGTTGTTGAATTAGGAGTCCCACATATTTTACCAATCTTAATTCAAAGTTTTAAGTACAAAATATTACGGGGGTTTTTGTCAGAATTACTTGGGAACAACACATTGACGCTCGAGCGAGCCACAGTAGCGCTCGTATGGTTGATTGTCGAGAAAGGGTGAATAAAGCCTCAAATCCAGGGGTGGACCGAGCATCCGGTGAGCCGGGGCAGCCGCTCGAGCTGGATTCATCGGAAAAAATGACTTATAAAGCTTTGATGAATATTGTTAGATATTTGTAAATGTGATTATTTGTTTAAATAGACTGTGTAGCTTAAATGGTATGGTAATTGTCTTACATGCAAGAGGTACAAGGTTCAATTCCAAGAACTTCTCCTCTTTCTTTTAATTTTTTAATTTGCAAATTGCTCAAAGCAAACTTATATATCTATTTGCAATAGTCAAAATTCAAACCCATTCTCCGCATGTGGAAATGTAATGCTTGACCACTATGGCAATTGAAGAATTTTAGCATTAAATATGACAAGAAACTATATATTCAATTTAGAAAGTAATAGATTACTTCTTGTAAAAATTATTATTATTATTTTCAACTAAAATTCAATATTGTAATGATTTAATAGTTGAACCAATGATTTGTACAATCAACGATCGTGTTGGTTATAATAACAATGCATAATATATATTTTTATTGTTAAATTTTGTCAATTTATTTTGTAAATTTAAATTTAGACAATCCAACTACTATTTTATTTTTTTAAGAGTTCAAAACACACATTTTTTTGGGTCAAAAATAGTTCTAAAAATGATTGTTTTAAAAATTTTTCGTAAGCTTTGCCTAAGTTTGGAATTAGTATTTATCGTTTAATTATGTTTTACATATAAGTTTCATATTGTCTCGATTAAATCTATCACAACTTGAAACTTGATCGTATGTATATGATTCAAAAAATGTATTTTTTCTTGTTATTTTGGATTATATTTTCATTGTATATGATTTTTACGTTTATATTGAAGAATTTTATAATATTATTTAATTAAAATAATCTCGTTATTGAGGCCTTCAACTACCAACAGCCGCCCTAGCTCACTCAACTTCTTGGGTCCGCCCCTGCTCACCTCTACTAGATAAATATATAGAAATTGTCGAGTTTATAAGAATATAGTTACTCCTCATAATAAATTAATCTTTCGGTCCGAAAAAATAAATAGAGAATTCTGCAAGATCAAATTGCAAGAGAATCCACTTTGTTGCTAGTATAGTTTTAACACTTTGGAAAGACCTTTTGGCTTAGTGTTGAATGAGACGTGTTATCTACCATCTAGAATAAAGGAAGAAAGATAATTAATTATTTGATTGATGAACTAATCTTGTTTTATAATCAAGATAAAGTGACTGATTCACGTTACTTAATTAATAAATAAAGTTTTTTTTTGTTAACTATTCCATCCGAAATGTATTGTTAATTTCGGAGGTCTAATCTAAATTATCCAATTGTGACATTTCATATCAATAATGTTAACCAATTTAAGAAAAAAAAATATTAAAAAAGTTGAGGTTAATGTTTGCTCAGTCTCCTATTCTATTCCATATTAATTTCTCCTAAACTAATGTTCATATCAACCAATCAATCAATTTCTTGGAGATTAAGGTTATGTTTAGTATTTCTACATAATTTAATAGAATCGATTTAAGCTACGTTGAAGAAATGAGTTGCACAAATAATCAGTTAAGCGTTCGATAAACTTTTGTTAAAGATTGCTATACATACGTCTGTGTATGTTTATTTTGAGATGTAATTCATCGAATTATGACGAGTTTGACGAAATACACATTATGACAATCAATACGACTTTAAGATTATGTTTATGTCTAAAAATAGTACAACATGACAATTGTCATATTAGACATATACAAATCATTCTGTTATATATATATATATATATATATATATATATATATATATATATATATATAGAGGAGAGCACACACACACTCTNGGTTCAGTGAACAATATGTATGTAATATATTCTCAGTGTCTTTCATATTTAAAAAACAAAAAAATGTTAAAAATCAATAATTTTATTTCTTGATACTTGACACATTGCCAAACAAAAAGAATAGAAATTTCATATCTTTGTCTTAACCTTATTCTTTTATAAAGTAAATTCATAGTCACAACGAAATTAAATGACTTCCATTGGACTACGAATTCATGTAGCGACAACAACTTCTGTTGGCTAGCTAGGATTATATGGATGCACCAATGAACTGACGATATAATATTTTCTGACGATGTCAAACCTAACGACCTTATCTTAAATTTGACGCAATCAAAAACAAGAAATAATTATTTATTTGTTGAATTCTTTTTCTTTGGAAACCTTAACATGACGTTTCTTTAAAAAGAACCTACGCTTGGTTGAATTTAATTTTCACCAAAGTAATAGAACGTGTAATTAATTCATAATTTGCAGTAAATTCTTCATTGGTATGAATGAGTATATGCAAAAATATGATTCGGAGAGTAAATAGGTTTGTTCCCACAAACAACAGACTATTCTTAGATAACATTGGATTTCCATCGGTAAAATTATATACTTACCATGATCAGTAACTTTTTTCGGGGTTGTTCAGCGAAGATGGTTCATGATTGCTGCCACAGGCACCAGGCAAAATCCCGTCTTCTTTTGCTCCATATACTCACTATTTCTTTCATCAGCAAAATTCGTTTCGTTTCTCTCATCAGTTCCTTGTATTGAGAAATTATGGGAGATGGCTTCTGATGTTTTGTATTTGACATTCTTGGCCTTCAAACTGCTAACCTATTCGCAGTAATTATGTCATTAACTGTTGAAAGAAAAAAATTGCAAATGTTTTGTAAATAATATATTAACTGTCGAGTTCATCTGATTACCTTAGGGCTGTTGACTGGAGAACTAGCTGTATCCTCCAAATCATCACAAGAAAATTTCTTACTGTTTGTGTTCTTGAAATTCAATCTCCTGGGAAATTTAGAGCTATCCAATGAAGAAAACCTGATAACTTGATCATTATTATTAGGACCATTCCATGCAGCATCAGAAATCAAAGAAGGGCTGTTAAAACTATCCATGGAATATGAATTTTGGCTTAATGCAAAATCATCCAAATAAGCTGTCCAACCACTCTCTTCAGTTCCTCTTAAAGAAACTTGCTCGCTTGCAGATGAGTTCTTGGGGTCTTCCATAATTATGAGAAGAAGAAAATAAAATCAGGAGATAGTTTGCAATAATAATAATTGGTAATGAGTTTTGTAAGGTGTTGAAGATGGATTATAAGAAGGGGAAGGGTTTGAATGTGGAGAAAAAGGATGCCCACAATGTGGAATCTTTTTGTGGGGCCAGGAGTTGAGGGAACACATCAAAGTCTAAATCATGGAATTGTCTAATACTAGAAAACTGCAAAAATAGGGTTTTCATTCGCAGTCACTTACATCAACTAATGTTTTAAAATTTATGATTAATGTATCTGAAAAAAGAGAAAAAAAAAGGGGGTATAATCTAATTCAATCAGAGTAACGCTATTTGCACGTGCTTACTATCGTACTCGTCTTACATGACATACATGTATCGATTAGTGATTTGATGTACTAATATTGTAGTTTTTTATTACTTCATGGGTTAAATCATTAATAATTACATGTATGTCACGTATAACGACTACGATAGTGAGCAACTGTAAATAATATTATTTATTCAATTAAGGGTGTAAACTAGTGAAATAAAGATAGATAATCCATAACTTACTCTTAACTATTTTAAAATTGATTGACATATCCATTCACAACAAAATTTAAGCAAGTTGGGACCGACCAACTTGGTTGTAAAGTAGCATTTTCAAGGAAGATTAGATGTTGTAGTCAGGCAACAAAATTAAAAATTAAAAATTTTGTCTTGTTTAGTTCAAGACTGTTAGCATATCATACACACCACATATTAAGAAGGAAAAATTGCAGCAGCAGTTCTAAATCTTTCGATTTTTAGCAGATTTTATCTTAACTTTTAGTTTGTACCACAAGAGATCTCAAAGTTCTCATTTTGTTAAGCGCAAGGACAAATGGATGATTCCGTCAATTTGACCGTTAGTTGACTAGATAAATTGATTTTGATCAAATTTAAAAAGGACAAAATGATAAATTTGCTATTTTAACATAAAATAGTTAAAAAAAATAAAAATAGAAGAGAACCATTCATCATCTTCCTCCCATTCTCCTCCCCCGCCATCCCACCCTACCCTACCCTATCCTACCCCACCAAACCAAACCAAATCAACTACCTTTTTCGTCGTCCCCTCCTTCCACAACCACCATCGCCCCCTTCCATGCTCTTCCACAAGCCCCTGCGTTACCTGCTCCATCAGCTCCTCCGCCGCTTCCATCACCGACCAAGCAATAATCATCGACTACCTGCGCCATGCCTTCCCTGGCGTTACTTCCCTTACGCTATGCGCCCGCAATTTATCGAATTTACAGCTACTGGCTCCACTGTGGCATAATTTGAAGCAAGTGCAACTCGTGAGGTGGCACCAGAGGCCCTAATTAGCCACCACTGGTGAAGAACTCAAAATTTTGTTTCAACAATGTAAGAGCATTTGTTCTCTTGATCTTTCATTGTTTTATTGCTGGGCAGATGATGTTCTTGTAGCACTGGAATCGAACCCATTAGTTTCATTGAACCACACTTGCTTGAATCTATTGAACCCATAATTTTCTGAGGGGTTCAAGTCTGATGAGATTAAGGAAATCACAAAAGCTTGTCCCAATTCCTTCCTTCGTTAAAGCATCAATCAGTGTACCATATGTAATTTCAGAAGGAACCACACCAATTTTTTCCAGAAACAATCTAAAAGCTTCAACCAGACACCCTTGGCGGCACAACCCCTTTATGACTGAATTATAGGTGATGATATTGAGAGCTATCCATTTATACTTAGCAAAAGAGCAGAGATCTAAAGCCTTATCTACGTGTCCTTCCTTGCGAAGGACGTCAATTATTACTGAGTAGTCAACAACATTCATAATAGGGGCATTATTTTTTGCACCCACAAGAAGCTCATTTGCATCCATAACCCTACCATCTTTTGCAAGTGTCTCAAGAACAGTAAAAGGAATAGTGATAGCCCATGTCCTGTCTTTCGTCCAAGAAATTTCAGGGCATTTTTGACGTCACTGAAACACAGGTAATATAATATTATCCCGAGGGCTATGAGGCCTTTGGTGTGGCTTGTGGAAGAGCAGGGAAGGGGGCGATGGTGGTTGTGGAAGGAGAGGACGGTGGAAAGGGTAGTTGATTTGGTTTAGGTTTGGTGGGGTAGGGTAGGGTAGGGTGTTGACCTATGTTTTAATATAACCCCACTTGTTTTGATTATAACAAATAATACACTTATATTTCTAACAAGTTTTGTTTCTTGAGCTTTTCATGAATATATTTTCTTAAGCATTCAAAGAGTCAAATCGTCATCCGTTGAAAAACAAGCAATCAAATGAAACTCGAAGAGAACAAGAACAAGAACTTTGAAAATTAAAACTTGAAAGTAGTTTATGGGAATTTAAATGTAAAGGTATTAATAATATTTCGATTCTTAGCAAATGCATAAAGCTCAAATTATTTTTATAATTCATCACATGTATAAAAATGTTTTTTTTTAATAATATGAAATGGATTTTGACAAAAAAAAAAGTCAAAGTCAAAGTTCGGTCAACCGGACTTGGTCAATCGAAAGTCCAACGATCATAATTTTGCAACGGCTATATTTTCAAAAATTGGTCAACCGAAAATTTCGGTCAAACGAATGTACCCGACAGTGTCTCTTTTTGCTCTATAAATACCCAATCCTTTTGCATTCAATTCTATCAACTTATAAGAGATTTTTGAGAGCTTTTTATTGAGAAATCATTGAGTTTACTTGAGTTTAAATTCTATTTCATTTATTACAAAAGAGTTTCTTGATTGATTCAACATAGTTCATTCATCTTATCAAGAAATTTTTTTAGCAAAGAACTCTTCACAAACTTCATCTATTCTTTATTTTTCATAAAAGTTTTCTTTGCCAACACTTTAATTTAAAATGTAAATCTCTTTTCATACTTAACTTGTATTATTTGTTAAGAGAGATCATTGGTTTGAAAACTTTGATACAAAAATTCAAACTACTTCATTATAAATTATTCATCAAAGTTTTCTTCATAAACACTTGAGCTTTATTACTTGCTATTTATTGAAGCGTTATCATAACTCTCTAAAATACTTGACTTGATTATATCATTTGTTAAGAGAGTTCTTTCAATTATAAAATTATCATTTATACTTTGGTGGTTTCGAGAGCCTTGTAAAAACTCGATTGTTGTTAAAGATATGTGCTCATTGTTGTAAGTCACCTAAGGATAAGTGTTCCTTATTGTAAGTCATTTAAGGACACGTGCTCTTTGTTTGTAAGTCACTTAAGGATCGATATTCCTCGTTTGTAAGTTTCCATTATAGTGCATATTGGTCTTACTCGTGACGGAGAGCTTGGTAACGAGGACGTAGAATACATTGTGTATCGAACCTCATTAAATTGGTTAGTTATCTCTACATTATCGCACTTTACTTTACATTACTATTTAATTGTACTATATCTATACTTGAATTTAGCTATTGAGCTTGCATATTTAATTCTCGTATCATACTTTGCACTTATATCTTGTGTGTTAAATTGTTTTGAGATTAAGTGTCGACAAAGTTTCAAAAAACCAATTCACCCCCCTCTTGGTTAGTTATTCTTGGGCTATCATAGGGCACTAGGGTAGGATGGAGGGGGATGGGAATGGGAGGAAGATGATGAACAATTCTCTTCTATTTTTCATTTTTTCTTTTTAACTATTCTATGTTAAAATAGCAAAGTTACCATTTTGTCATTTTTAAATTTTATCAAAATCAATATCTCTAGTCAACTAACGGTCAAATGGATCATCTATTTGTCCATGCGCTACAACAAAATAAAAGGTTTTGGAACCTTTGGTGGTACAAACTAATCCATCCATTTGTCCTTGCGCTACAACAAAATGAAAGGTTTGAGACCTCTAATGGTACAAACTAAAGATTAAGGTAAAGTCTGCTAAAAATCGAAAAGTTTGGGACCGCTGCTGCAATTTTCCCTATTAAGAATTCCTACCGACTAATATTTAAATATATGGGTTAATTACACCAGAGGTCGTTGAACTTTCACTTGAATTGCATTGAAGTCACCCAACTTCAATTTGGAACAATCAAGTCATTAAGTTTTAATTTAAGAGCAAGCATATCACTCCTTCTTGAATTCTGTTAATGTGTCTATCTAATTAGCTAATGTGACAACCTCAGTCGACATATTAAGATTCGTTTGGTACCGATTAAAATTTAGATTTTCATTTAAGTCAAAGTCAATAATTAATTTTAACCACATATTTTATGGGACCCACAACTTTTTAACCACATATCTCATCAATTTTTATCAAAATCTATTAAAAATCTAATTTTAGGAACTAATAATATTGGAGGTCATTGAACTTTTACTCTTGTTGCAAACGAAGTAATTTTCATTTAAACATGAAAGTTATCATTCTACTATGTATCAACGTGCTATGGCATATTAGACTTTTTTTTAGTCTTTTACTTTTTTTAACTTTATTTTGATTTCTTTATTAATTTGTTTTAAATCAAACTAAGGTTACAAATGTAATTTATTCAAGATTTGATTTTTCAAAGTCAAACTAACGATTTCTGTTACAAAAGGACTCGAGATACGCACATTTTAAAGTTTTGGAACTCTAGGGCATTAGAAATAAAAGATTTGAAACCCCATCATCATAACCTTCAAAAGTTCGAGACTTCAAATACAATTTGCCCATCATCATTTCTTGTTTGTGGAAGAGAGAAAGATGCTATATATTGCTCAAGGGGCCACGTGATATGGAACTTTGTTCGAGAAAAGGATTGTTGGTAAGTGCAAACAAACTTTCACATCGATTAAACATGAGATAGATGCTTATTACAATAAGGAATTGAACTATTCTATCTAATGGATTAACTTTTTGGAATGAAACCCTAATTATTTACGCGCAACAAGTTGAGAATTAGTACCGATTTTAACGGTGTCAAAATGGGTCAACCAAGCCTATGATTATCAATCGAAACAAATTAACCAATGGTAAGAACCAGAGTTCACATCACGAAGTAACGCTACAATTTCATAGTAGATGGAGGCATTAGCAGCAAGACTGAAATTGTACGACTGCATCAGTGTACACACTATATCTATGCAAAATAATTGATGGGTCTCAAATCGATTTGAATCCAAATTAATCCGACCTAGATTCTTTTTAAATATTTTCAGTTGGTGAGTTGATGGGTTTAACAAATCTATTATGTGACAATTTGGTGAGTTGGTGTCACATTAATGACACATCAAATGGATGTTAAGTTTCAACACTAACTCAACAAAAACTTTGTTTCAATAATGGGAGGAGATAGAGTGGTGAAACTTATATTAAAGTTGTAGACTGACTCGACCACAACAAATTGAAGTTGAGTGACATGCAGTTCACTTAACCGATAGAATTAAAAGCGGCACTCACATCTTTAAACGACACCAAGGTTAAATTTATACTATATATTCTTGAGAAACCCTAGATGTCTAGTCAACCGTTGCGCCCCAAGAATTTCATACACACACACCACCCTACCCTACTGTTCCCATTATATTCCTTGCTTCCTAGATTGGTATAATACACTAAATTCCATTAAATGCAATTGCACCATCTCTATATTGCTTGGAAATAAACGGCTCCTCCTACTGCTTTATATTTTTGTCTCCTTTTCCTCCATTTGGCTCTATTGGTACTCTCTTCCTACCTCTTCTTAACTCCATTGTTGTGTCCCTTTCATCTGTGATCCTCATCTCTATTTATTATTGTTTGACTTCTTCTGATCCCACCTATGTACATTAATCCCTCAAATTTATTTATAACACTAAGATTTTCCTCAATATATAAGTTACCTGGACGAAAGTGACTCCATAGAGATTATTCTGCAGGCATGTAGTAACAGGTAATGAACAGAGAAGAACACGAGAGAAAAGTAAGAGAAAACGTCAAAAAAAGAGAAATCTTTATTATTCCATTAATAATTCCGAAATAACCCACAACCCGGGTCATATAGCTAAAGAAATCAAAATTATCGGAATTTTACCAAAAATAGCAAAATCTCAATATTCATACCAAAAGATAATACATAATAAAAGAAATAAAATCCCAAAAATTCAGCTAAATCCGGATTCATAATCTATCTTAAAAAGGCAAATGAAATATTACTAAAAAATGTTAAAAAATAACTTAAAATTGGAATTTGAAATGGAAAACAGCAGATTTTGCCCTCGAAAATGATTTGCACCGAGCATAGCTCGGTGGCCACAATGTGCGCGTCGAAAAGAGTTTTTCAAATTAGGTCATGAGCGCGATTCGAATAACCATAGCCAAAGTTATGGCCAAATTACCAAAACTCATCCAAATGTCACCCAATTAGGAAAAGATTACATTCACTTGCCATATTTGCGTTGATCTGCCAACTCGTGATATCTTAGCGCAATCAACGTGCTGTTTGAAAGCTCAGTGTCATCTGAGTCGGATGCTCCTGCATCAGTCGCCCCGAGTTAGAAAGAACTTGCCCTCGAGTTCGTAATAGCTGCATTAGAATCCACAAAACAAGGGCTCAGGTGTTTCACGTTAAAGACATCAGAAGTCTTCAAATGGCTGGGAATGCGCAATCTATAGGTATTATCATTGATCTTCTACAAAACCTCACAGGGTCCAATCTTCCGCTCCCTAAGCTTATTATACTCCCCAACCGGAAAACGATCTCGAGTCAGTACTGTCCAAACAAAATCACCAACATCAAAAAGGACCTGATGGTGGTGGCTATCGACCCGAGCCTTGTACTTGGCATTACTCTCATGAATAGTTAGCTTCACTTGTTCACGGATACCTCGAAGATATTTTGACATCTCATCTGCCTTGGGATTTGAACGTCCCGTACGTGGAATAGGGGCTAAATCAAGCACCCCGGATAGGTTCTGACCATAGACAATCTCAAATGGACTTAAGCCAGTGGTCCTGTTCTTCCACCTATTATAGGCAAATTCTGCTTGAGATAAGGCCAAATCCCACTGCTTCGGCTTAGCACCTGCCAAACACCTTAAAAGGTTGCCTAAAATCTGGCTTACCACCTTGGTCTGACCATCCGTCTATGGGTGATAGGCGCTACTAAAATTCAGTTGTGTCCCTAGTTTTCCCCACAAACTCTTTCAGAATGATTGATGAATTTGGTATCACGATCTGAAGTGATGGAACAAGGAACACATGTAAACACACAATTTCTCTGAAGTACAGGTGGGTAATCCGAACAGCATCTATAGTCTTCCTACAAGCTATAAAATGGGCCATCTTAGAAAATCTGTCAACCACAACAAGGATAGAATCGGAGGCCCATTGAGTGCGGGGTAAACCCAACACAAAGTACATGCTAACATCGAACCACGGGGCTTCAAGAATAGGTAAGGGAGTGTACATACCCACATTGGTAAAGACTCCCTTAGACCGCTGGCACACGTAACAACGATTCACATAATGTGTCACATCGCTGGTCAACCAACTTGGGCCAATAAAAGTCAGAGGAGATAAGGGCTAATGTCTTATCTCGACCAAAGTGCCCCTCATTATGAAGTTCGCTTATATTTTGTTGGCTCAATGAACAATCTGGGATACACAACTATAATCCACGAAATAGATAACCATTATGTAAAACAAAATCATGTGACCATCAATTACCTCCTGAAATATCCTTCCAAAGGAAGGATCAGCTGCATATATATCCGGAAAAGTCTCAAAGCCTGTAACTCTGGTACTAGTAGTGGTGCGGAGCATAGTACGACGGCTCAATGCATCTGCGACGCGATTTAGGCTCCCTGCATCGTAATTGAGTATGCAGATTAGGTCTTATACTCCTATCTCCTTCTATCTTGGTTGTGTTAAATGTCTTTTCACTCTCGATTGTTTTTCTGTGCGTTTTTTTCCTGGGTTTTACCCATGGTTGAGGGATTAAGGGACACTAAAACAAAAACAGCCTTCTGCAACGTTTAAAAAAGTTTCCGTAGAGCTTTTGCTACGTTCGGGTGTACGTTGCAAATATGTTGTCGTAGAGTAAAAGGAAATGGCAAAATTTTTTCAGTGTTGCGAATTATCTTTTGCAATGTTTTTGACTATTGTCAATAACCTTTTTCGCAACGTTATAACATTTTTACAACGTTTGAAAACTGTTGTCAAAACTTGGGTTCATATTTTCGCAACATTCCGTAAATGTTGTTATTGACCTTTTTGCAACATTTTTTGAACATTGCCTTTAATTTATTTGCAACATTTTTTGAGTGTTGTCTTTAATTATGTGCTCACCTTTTAGCAACATTTTTTTTTATCATTGGTAAACATCTTATTTGAAACCTTTTTTAAACTTATTTGCAACGTTTTTTTAGTGGTCTTTATTTTTTGTGCTCATCTTTTAGCAACTTTTTTTTGACGTTGTCTTTTCCTTTATCCAAGTTTTTGCAACATTTTACGAACGTTGTCATATGTTATTTTTATATTTTTAAAAATTAATTCGCCTTTTTTATATTTTGATATTAACCAATATATTTAAAAAATTTAAATATTTTTCTAGTAAAAATACACAAATTAAACAACATAATTAAAGACATTTTTGATAGTGAATGAAATTGAGATTAAAATATACAAAATAAAAAATGGAAATAGATTGAACATCTTTTTCTTGCATCTCCATTTAATCAAACTAACTTGAAACCACTCTTAACATAATAAATAAGTGTTTCAATTTAGTTTATTGAAATTGATTTCATTTTCTTTCTAGCCCAAATGGATGATTTGTATGCATCACTTAAAAAGAATCCAGTTGTACAAGAAAATTGTACATGAAATATTTGATGTAATACAAAAATTTACACTGTCAAACACACCCCAAAAGCACACAAATGATGACACGTAATTCTTTTGAAAGAAGATGGGAGACATGTACAATGTCATAAAATGAAACAAGAAACATGTACAGTGTACTTTCAGGATGGTATTGTATAGAAAGTCTCATGTATGGCTTCTTAATTTCGGAATCTGAAGCTCCAGGTTCTAATCCAAGGATGTTGAACGGCTCAAAAACTTGGATTTGAGAAAATCAAAAAAGTATTACCCTCAAATAATCGTTCCATAATTGAAGAAAATACAAGTACATAATAGATTACATGACAAACTGACGCCGGGCATAATAGAGCTGGCAGGTAATAACAGGTAATAAACAGAGAGAGAACAAGAGAAACGTCCAAGAAAAGAGAAATCTTTATTATTCAATCAACGTCCTCGAAAATAACCCACAAACCAGATTATATAGCTAAAGAAATCAAAATTATCGAAATTTTACCATAAATAGCAAAATTCCAATATTTATACCAAAAGATAGTACGTAAGAAAAGAAATAAAATCCCAAAAATTCAGCTCAATCCAGGTTCATAATTTATCTTAAAAAGGAAAATGAAATATTACTAAAAAATGCAAAAAAATAACTTAAAATTGGAATTTGAAAAGGAAAACAATGGATTTTGAACTTGAAAATGATTCACACCGAGCATAGCTCGGTGGCCACGATGTGTGCGCCGAAAGGAACTTTCCGAATTGAGGTCATGAGAGCAATTCCGATAACCGTAGCCAAAGTTATGGCCAAATTACCAAAAATCGTCCAAATGTCTGCCAACTCGTGATATTTTAGCGCAATCAACGTATTGTTTGACAGCTCAACATCATCTGAGTCAGATGCTCCTGCATCAGTCGCCTCGAGTTGGAAAGAACTCGCCCTCGAGTTTGTAATAGCTTCATTAGAATCCACAAAACAAGGGCTCAGGTGTTTCACGTTAAAGACATCAGAAGTCTTCAAATGGTTGGGAAGGCACAATCTATAGGCATTATCATTGATTTTCTGCAAAACCTCACAGGGTCCAATCTTCTGCTCCCTCAGTTTATTATACTCCCCAACCGGAAAACGATCTCGAGTTAGTACTGCCCAAACAAAATCGCCAACATCAAAAAGGACCTGATGACGGTAGCTATCGGCCCGAGCTTTGTACTTGGCATTACTCTCGTGAATAGTGAGCTTCACCTATTCATGGATATCGCAAAGATGCTCTGC